TTCAACCTCGTCTAGGTACGGTCCGGCTGGGGTTTTTGATACGACCTAGGCGAGGTCGAAGCTGCAGTCCCCTCTTGATGAGAATAACTTTTGAGAAGCAGGCCTATGTGAACTTTAATGGAAGCATAAGGCCTACTCATGTCATTATGGGAAAATCCAACTTCCAGTACCTTCATCACCTTAGACACAATAGGGTGAATGCATTTCATATAAAAATGATCTACTGGTAGTCTCAAAAACTTAGTTATAAGCAAAGCATGAGTAATGTAATCGATTGCTATAGCGAGTAAAACTTTGCTTCATCTACAATCTCACTACAGAATGTTATATCAAAAAATGCCTGGGCTTCCTTGAAATTCACATCTGCATCCTGATCCAAGGACATTCGTGGCAATGTGGCATGGTGGTTAATGTGTCGAGATAATACGCTGCACTGCCATGGTCTGAGTCTCGCTGGAGGTATTGATAAGGCCTATGCAAAGCCAAAATTTGAATCCACTCTGGATAAGAATATATTTTTGGCAAGCACGGCTATTCGAAATTCAGTGAAAACGTTAGCTCTACTAATATTATTATGGAAAAGTTAACTGCTATTCTTTTTATCACATCATTTATACCCTTTTGTGAAATATTTACTACCATCATATATAGTTGATCACTATTCGGAATTATAAATCCCACATTCTACAAACACACAAGATAATCTTACAGATAACTAATTAACTTCCTCAATCGCCTGCATGTAGCACACTTGGGAGATTTCGCTTACTTGCTGTTACATCTGACACTTTTTCTCTTCTTTTAGTCTAGGTGATAGTATAAGAACTTATATATTTAACTAACCTTAGGAGATAGCATTTTGTTGCGTTGTTACTCCTTAATGCGAAGGTCTAATTCTATGGTTTGCTGGTTTTGAACTAAATTAAAAGTTTATTGGCGTATTACAACCATAACCAGGCTTCGAGAATAGGGCGAAACCTATGATTTGTACTTACAAACTGCTGTGTCCAAACGATATTTTCCCCTCCAAAACATTCTTCTTTACTCTATGATATTTTCCCCTTTCATATTTCTTTTACAGATAGGAATTGTTGGCCGAACTGGTGCTGGAAAGTCTTCATTAACTCTTGCACTGTTTCGTCTCATTGAGCCTGCAAAAGGAACCATCTTTATTGATGGAATCGATATCACTACATTGGGCCTTCACTATTTACGCAAGCGTTTGGCGATTATTCCCCAGGTAGAGGGCATCCATTTTCAATTCTTTCTATTTCTTAATAAATGCATGTTACATGGATGCAAGCCAACCATTCTCGATGTACTTACTGTTTTGCATTAACCTTTATATTAATTTAAATTGCTTATAGTATATTTAGTTAATCATATGCGTTAGTTTGTCTGTGGAGTATAAGATTCATCACAATTTAGAATTCATTCAGTCACATTGGTATATCTATTTTCCAGAGATTTGGGGTTTTATATGACAAAATTGTCAACATCTATGTTTTCTTATTTAACTATGACCAGATGCTTGTCTACATTAAGAACTAATTAGTACAACACACTTCGTAAGATTGTCACCGTGAGTAAATCTCGAAGTTCTTTTTTAAATAAGTACTTCTCCATAAAATTTTAATGTCTATAACAAAACAATCATAGATCACGCGCTACATACAATGTGTTAATCTTTTCCCGATTGAGTAGATATATATTTAAAAACTGATCACAACACTACTATTATAACTAGTAACTAATTAGCTTTAGAATATCAATCAAACTTTTCTTTTATTTAGGATCCTGTATTGTTTTCGGGTACATTGCGCTTCAATTTAGATCCATACAATCTACACTCCGATGATCAATTATGGCGTGCACTTGAGAGCGCTCATTTGAAAAATTTCGTAATGATGCAGCCCAATAAATTGGATTTTATCTGCGCTGAGAATGGCGAGAATCTCAGGTTGTGACAACTCATATATATATATATATATGTATATGTATATGTATAATTATAAGTTTATAATTGTATAATATTATATTACCTATTACTTATATTTCTTAAGACCATTGTAATCTGTAATCTTTAAACTGTAATAGGTAATGGGCGGCTAGGCTTTGAAACATTTAAAATATACTATTAGGAGACCTTCGTTTTTTAGAATAAATTCCCGTTGAATAGTCAAGAACCTTTACGATTTTTATTCGATTTCGATTTCAGGCCTCAAATTTCTTCTTACGGTGATTACTCTTCATTATGGCTGACTAAATAGGTTCGGCATCTGAAGGTTAGGCAGAGCAACCTACCTCGGTTTTTAATGACACACTTAATGTTATTATTTATATTATTATCCATTAATACAGCCCATACCTGTCTCTCTTGTATACAAGCTTTGTAATTACCGAGTATCGTCTTGGCTTAACTAAAAGGAATGTAGCTCAAAGGTTGCCCTTTTCTAGCATTTCCCGTTGGTTCTAATTTATCTGAAGATCGATTTATAATTTTCGTCTGATTTGTCATCAATATTTGTACGCCCCTGTCAATATAGATGCAGCTTAGACACTTTTAGCAAGTATTGTTATATAAATTTTCTAATTGGTGTAGCTTCTGTATTCTTATCGACCATTACTAAATGTCCATATAGACAAGATTTATTTGAGCCAGTAGTTTATTGCTTCATAATAATAGCTTGGAAGGAGCATAAGTATGTCAATAGTCTGAAGCGACTCTTATCTTCAAGTGTTACTATCACAGCATATGCCTACCTCAAAATAGTCCATATCTAATTCATAATACAAGATAACCATAATTTAGTATGTACTACGAATCATTTGCTCTTTTAAATCCTAGTCACTTTAGTCGTTCGTAGTTATTTAGATAGTTAAAAGAAAATTAAGGGGTGATCAGAATCTAGTTAAATCTAGGACCAGCTTGGCTTACGCGTTTTTTGTCTCTATTATTCACTCATTTTTATCAATAATGTTTCAGATCTCTCGTAGCTTATTCGAATTGACGATGTATGGAGGTTAGAAGATTCCGGACATCGATATCTTTTTTTAGCTCTACCAATTTGCTGGTATCATTACGCCAAATCAAATAGGACTTTTGCTTATTTTGGCTACTGTAAATAACAAGGCATCAAGTAAAATCCTTAAGTATATCAAAAATAAAATTTTTGACGCTATTTTTGAGGTGATCTTTTTTGATTCCGATGACGACCTGCCAAGTTTTCGATCGTCGTATGACGGACATCATTAATGCAGGGTATCATCCCTACAACCATATTTATGCTAACGAGTTAAGAAAACTTACCGGCTCGTCTATAAATGCTGTATATATATTCTATTAATCTGAGCTCTTTTATGAGGTATAAAGTGATTTGGTTAGTTCAAATCTTATTTCAACCCCGAAGCATGTGACTGTATATGTTCATGGATGTGCTCGCATATGCGAAAAACTAGTAGCGTCGGCTCAAGGCGATTAGAACAACTAAAGTCTTCATATGAGAGAGAAAGAGTAGATTAAAACGCAGAGAAGAGTGACCATGGATAAAAACAAGAAAAGAAAAGATAGGGCTAGTTTAGGCACTTTTTTGCAAGCTTCTTAACACCCTATCTGTCCTTGACTCTATTAGTTTAGCACAAGTAGTTTTTACTTAATTCCTTGCTAGTATTCCTCATATTCAATGTATTGCCTCTTCGGTTTACTTCGGAAGCTTATCTAATTTTATGTTTGCCTACAGATATATCATAATCAGCAAAACTATAAGCTTGAGACAGTTCTCTGTAATATCCAGTTTCTACCTTATGTTTAA